ATAGGATAGTTTTAAAATAAAAATCTTCAGGAAGTCACTACTCCACGCGTACAAAGTCGAGGGCAAAAGCTAGTTGAATATAAATAGTATACCTACAGTAAGAATAGAAGTAGGATAGAAACCTTCATGAAAAGACCGTACTCGGGTGATTCTCCAAAAAACCTTAACTTTTATTTAACAAGTCATTATCCTCCCAGGTTTTTAAGCATCTTAGTAATTTATTTTAAACAATATTTTTAATCGGTTGCTTGTAAGCAGTGGTGAGATTTAATTTAATAAAATAATTATCTGTGTTTTAATCAGCAGACTCGTTAATTTTCGGTTGAGGATAATGACATTATTAATTTTTTTTTAATTGATGTGAAGAATCACCCACTCCTTATTAAAAGACTGGCAACACGCCTGTGTCTTCTCAGTCTATGGGCGGCGCTGATCACTTACCATCAGGTGATCCGAAGACTGAAATAGGATAAACAATCTAAACACAAAAAAAAGTCGCAAGACAAATCGCAACTTTGCAACGAGCCTGACTAAAGGTACAAAGTCCGTCATTTGATTGCACACTCGCTACTCCCGATGACGGTTGCAGTCGCCATGCAGTCTCAAATGCATGAGCAATTGACTTCTGACACGAGGACGAGATCATGACGTGACACCAGCTAATATGTCTGACGAAACACCGCCACATGTTGCGTTTGAAGATCTTTTTTTTTCTTTTAATATGTATGGCTTGAAAGACTTCGACTGCCGACCGAAAACTGTCGAAGGCAAATCCTCCGCTACCGTAGGTCACCGGTGACCTACGCGGCGGTTAACGTCGGTCGATACTTAAGCCAGGGTTGTGGTTACAAGAGGGTTGATGTGGTTTTTAGTCAGTAAGAGTCTGACACTATCTTAGCAGAGCCAGAGAAACCATTAGATGATTTTCTTCTCTCAAAAAGGATTTCGAAACCTGACAAGTACCAATGTAACATTTTCCGATTTATATAGAAAGAAAGAAAACATTTATTCTTGTACAAACGCACACACAAAAACCAACAAAAAAAATAACTAAGTATATTTATAATCTAAACTAAACGATACAAATAATATGTACTTAAAATAAATTAATAACAAAAAAGAAAACTTTTGTCTATGGTCCTCAGAGGTATACTCTGATGACCATAGACAAAAGTTTTCTTTTTTTTTTTCATTATACGCAATGTCGCGTGAATTTTTTTTTATTGTCAGTGGACCATATAAGGACAAAGGATGTAACATTTTGTAACAAACTATAACCAAACAATAAAAAAAAAACATATTTTAGTTACATTAAGTTGAGAATTTTCTCCTTATCACGTATTATCATACTTATATATATACATATAAATGATTTCGTATAGGGAAAAACATCAAATGACTTCTCTTACCCAGGGTATGCCGAGAGATAGTGTTAGAATCTTACTGACTAAAAACCCCCCTGTCCCTTCTTCTGCTCTAGGCCGAGGTCGCGGTGCCTCATTGCGCTTACCCCGCAACCCCGGCTAAACATCAGCCCTCGTCAGCCCCCTTTTGTAGTGGTCTATTGGCTCTTTGAGTTGCGCGCGGAACGCTACGCGCCGTACGCTCGGGTCTGGTTCTGATCGGGCGGCGAGCTACCCTTACTCGCAGACCGCAGACCCGCGATGATTAAGCCTTAAAGGTACAATAAAAGACTGACCCAGTCACCAAACACCATGGAGAATTTACTATTGTAATAGGACCTATGCGTAAGCTGCTATATTTGTTTCCAGTGAGAGGTAGTTATGGCAAAAACGCCTAAAGGCTCAGGAAACCCAATCCTTCACCTCCCCCAATCCCTAAAACTCCAAATCCCTAATCCTCAAAAGGTCGGCAACGCACTTGTATCTCCTCTTGTTTCGGATGTCCATGGGCGGCGCTGATTGCCTACCATCAGGTAATCCGTCTGCTCGTTTGCCGACATATAACATAAAAAATGGCACGGATTTTTTTTTACCACAGCCTTATTTGGCTAAAAACCTACCTACCTACTTACCTACCTACTTGGCCAAAAACTTGTGCTATTTCTGTCATGTCCTATATTTTATAACGGTACTCAGTATATTTAAGCTCATGGTCGTTTTTTTAAATGGAATTCATCACTTTTCAATTCATATGACCGCCTTGAAATTCAGACATGTCGAAACATGTCTGATCACGTTGGCACATGTCGCTGTAAAACACATTTGGTTGCCATATGTCTAGTTGACATTTTTTTTCTGTACTTTCCGTCAGAATTGATGTACTATGAATCTCTACTGTAATAGCAACATTTTATGAGAAGAAAATATCGAATATTTTTTTTCTCTGTGTACCTACTTATAACGTACTAGCTACTTTCGCGCGGTTTTACCCGCAGCTCGACTCCATTTAATAGGAATCCTCAATTTATTGTAGCTATCTATTAGTGAAAGAATTTTAGAAATCCGACCAGTGTTTGCAAAGATTACCCCCTACATACAAACTTACAAATTTTACCTCTTTATAATATTAGTATAGATTTCATTTCGAGAAAATTATTATTAAATGGTTGATTAAAACAATATGATATATTACCTATTTAATATAGTTGATATACATTGAATTATTTACCGGCTTCTGCGAAACCGTGCTAGACTGACTCGAGGCCTTACATAACCTTATCAGCGGAAAATGTCTTTGAAATCTTTTTATAATTTTACTGCACGCTTTGTGCAGTGGCTGGGCAACTGACTACTACTGGCACAACGTAATGCAGGTTAAAAATTTTATTCCGGGTCTGAGAATGATGTGTATGTAAAATTGTATGTTTATAAACACATCCACGAAAGCAACCTTGCTTAAGAAGATATACATATATACATAATATTATATAAAGCTATATTCTGCAATATTAAAACATACGCAACCACCGAGCATCCACGAGAATCACTAGTAGTTTCTATAATCTATAATATAAAAATTAATCACGAACGCGCATAACTCAAGAACGCCTGGACCAATTTTTCTAATTATTTTTTTTTGTTTTGAGAAGGTTCTAACGAAAGAAAACTAGAAAAGTAAAGAGGAATAGCGGGAATTAACAACCTTTTCGGGGCCGTGGCCGTTCGCTTGCAAAACAAATGACTAACACAGGTACAATACGGCCGACGTATCTTGGCGACTCTGAAGTTAGCCGATTAGCTGCGCAGTACACAATTTTGTTCTTAAAAGATCCATTGCGCAGACAAACGGCTAACTTCAGACTAGCCAAGATAGGGCGACCGTACTGTAGTCTGCAGTGTGATTCTGTAAGACTTCATTGTAAACTTCGAATCTGAATCCGCTGTGAGTATTAGTACACTAGTGCTACACTTTCGAGTTGAACTAAATTGACAGCAACATTTTGATAGATAAAGTATGAGATGACGTTAAAAGTGGCATTCTAAAATTTAATTTCCCAGTCACTTCGACGCTCACTTCGCACTCGAACACGATTTAAAATCAAACAAATTTTATAGAATCGACGTGCTGATATCCGTGCGAAGCAGGGGCGGTCTTCTAGTATTTTATCCAACCCGGAAATCTAAGCTAATTAATATCAACGGTTACACGTGGCAACAAAAATGTCTGTCGCTTACGTTCCTATGTACCTACGTCTTAATTGTCATTCATTAAAATGCACTCGTGTTGCTTCAATTGCTCAATAAATTGAACACGTGTATTTATAGATGGGGGAGGTGGGGAGCATTAGACAGAGACTACTTTTCCATATATGCCCGGTTCCTATATTTAACGAATTGTCGTTGTATACGCATGACGACCAAATAGCATTACGAATAGTTATCTTGACCGTCTACTGACGGTTAAAATATTTATAGGAACACCACAGACACCATAGATCTCCGTACAATTCGCTTACCGACATCCGTTAGTTGCAAACCGTCAGTAAGTTGCACGACGAGACGTTTGTTATAGGAACAGTTTTAGCTTACGAGTCGTATATAAAACTACTATTTGTCACTAAAACGGATCGTTTCTCAATTATAGGAACCGGGCAATAGACAATATGTCTTTTATACACATCTCTTGAATGAAAAGAGCTTCGGCACGAATGGATCGGCTCGACCGGACTGATATCACGGCCTCACGGCAAACTGGCGTGAAACAACCACAGCGTTGTGTTTGGCCTTGAGTGAGGTGAGAAGAGGAGGCCCATGGACACCCGCTACACCAAAGGAGTTACGAGTGCGTTGCCGGCCTTTTGGGATAGGGATTGCGGATATAGGGATCGGAAAGGGGCGGGATTGGCCCTCCGGTAAACTCACTCACACGGCGAAACACAACGCTGTGGTTGTTTCACGCCGGTTTTCTGTGAGACCGTGGTATCACTCCGGTCGAGCCGACCCATTCGTGCCGAAACATGGCTGTCCCACACTTAAGATTGTCAGACCCTTACTAACTAAACCACCCCATTCCTTCTTCTGCTCCGGGCTGGGGCCCAGGTAAACTACTGTGCTTGCACCCTAACTGGCCATTGGTCCTAGTGGTCCCACCTACATAAATCAGAATAATTAGCTTTATTTCTAAGATTTCTGTGGTCCCACCTGTAGTAAATAAATTCAATTTGTTTCATCATCATCATCAGCCTATAAGTGCCCACTGCTGAGCAAAGGCCTCTTCTCACACAGAGTAAGTTTGAGCATTAATCACCATGCTTGCATTCAAACTTATAATCAGAAATTATAAGTCCAAGTTTCCTCACATTTTTTTTCCTTCACCGTATGTCAGTGGTGTCTAAATAATCATAGAAAGTACATATTCATCAAAATACATATACCTAACTCAGAAAAAGTTACATTGGCACTTGTCAGGTTTCGAAGCCGCACTCTCATGCATGATAAGCGGGCGCCTTAACCTCCGGGCCTCCACGACTACAAAATTTGTTTATGAAGTCTTTTAAATTACAATATATCACTCACGTTGGCTTTTTTTCTTTCCAGATTATTCATGTTCGCTCCGTACTTCAAGATACAACAGATCACGCCCAATAGCTAAGTAAGTCATTCTATTTTACTTGTTTTCTCTTGAGTCCTCAGGCGTGAGCGGTGAGTGTCGATATCAACTTAAAACACTCTGTTTTCACAATGCAAGTGTGACATGATTATAAAATCGCGATTTTAATCACAATTCCGGGGAAGAATACGTTTTCTGTTGATTTGTCTTCATTTAAACCTGCACTTCAGCAAGTTTCACATCAAGAGACGATCTCCGGTCACCGTAAGCGCGGGTCTTCGGACGGCGAGTAAGGGTAGCTCGCCGCCCGACCAAAACCAGACCCGAGCGTACGGCGCGTAGCGTTCAAAGAGACGGGACCCTATAGGGTTGATGTTCAGCCGGGGTTGCGGAGTAAGCGCAATTAAGCACCGCGACCTCGGCCCAGAGAAGGAGAAGAAACGGGGATTTTATTCAATAAGAGTCTGACACTCCCTCTCGCCCGACCTTGGGCGGGAGAAGTCATTTGATGATTTTCCTTTGACAAAAAAAAACAGCAAGTTTCACATAGTGAATAACGAAAGCCTATTTTTTTATGGGTTGATCGTCAAAGTAGCAAATTCGTCAGATGATGGTAAGCTAGCGTCGCCGTCCAGGGACAACAGCAATACCACCGCAACGGCCTTTTGTTCATAGGAATTTTAAGAATTGGGAATGGTGTGGGGGCGAAAGGAAGGATTGCTTACCCATCGGCCTACTTAATCATGACGATATATTTTCTATATTAATATTATAAAGTAACTAGCTACTCCCGCGCGGTTTCACTCGCTGCTCGGCTCTATTAGTTTGTAGCATGATGTTTTGTAGCCTATAACACTCGGGAGTATTGTAGCTATCAATAAGTGAACAAATTTTGAGAATCCGACTCCGAGTGGTTCCAAAGATTACAATTCTAAAATTTGTAAGTTTGTATATAGGGGACATATAAACTTACAAACATAGAAACTTACAAATTTTACCTCTTTATAATATTAGTATAAATGTAAAATTTGTAAGTTTGTACGTAGGGGATAATTTGGAACCGCTGGTCGGATTGCCAAAATTCTCTCACTGATAGATAGCTACAATATTTCCTAATGCTATAGGCTATAAAACATCACGTTACGATCAAATGAAACCGCGCGAAGGTGGCTAATAGTCTATATGATACAAATAATTTAACGTAACTCGGCTAAAGTACAAGTATATAACTGTAAATACTCTGTGGCTACTTGACATAACTGTTTAATGAATAAGTTAAAATTATAACTATCTATTTTGCTATGTTGATCCATTCATTGACATAGTATAAAGGGTTTGAGTACGAAGAGTTTGAACTTTGTCAATTTCATTATTTTTAGCTTTTTATGGGAAGTAGAATTTTGCAGCTAAATTCTAAAATCAAATGTCTTCAACCGTTTGAGCTGACTTTTTTAGACTTTATTCTTAATATTCAGATTGTTTACGCCGTTAAAAGTTAAAGTCAACCTTTAAACTTATTGAGGTTATTAAGAGAATGTAACCAAGTTCACCATGGCTTCACCCGCTACTCGGATCCCACAGATCGTGGGGTGGTGTTTTATAGCCTATAACAGCCATCCCCGATAAATGGAATAATAAACACAAAAAAATATTGTTCGTTAATTCGGATCACTAGTTCCGGAGATTAGAGCGTTCAAACAAGCAAACAACTTTATAATGTTAGTAAGTATAGATAATTGCAAACAAAACATGTCATGTGCTATCAAATGTCTGAAACGTTACGAAAGTACGTACTAAATACTATAAGGCTATTTATAAAAATAATGAAACATTCGTCAGTAAACAGAACACTGTCTACAAAACTAGAAAAAAAAGTGCCAAGTCCACGATCTTTGCAGTCAAATCAATAAGTTTATATTTTAGTATATTCCCTCGCTGACGTAAATGCTAATACAGCGGCCATCAGATGCAACAATCTGACCTACTTCTCCTCAGTACGTCAGTATAACATCTACATAAGTAAATCGGCTTTCCTTTTGGATAATAATTCACTATTCCCATTGTACTTTGAGGTAGTTTTAAACGGTTTGAGTGAGGAAAAATATGGATAGACTGACTCGAGACAAGGTTTCCAAATTTAAAAGGATGCGAGCAAAAAGACAATGTCCTAATTGGCCCTGTGCACAAAAGGGTATCTGAATACACGGTTATTAATGGCATATTTTATTATTTAAGGTGCCAAATTTTTTTTAACACGGGTAAGCAAAATATTTTGCTAGCTCTTACCCGCGGCGTCGCTCCCGTCATTTGGCAAGGTAGGGTAGGTACCTACTCTACTTACCCTACCTACCCTACTCTAACTACCCTAATCTCCCTATCCTACTCTACCTACCCTACTCTTCCTACCCTACTCTACCTACCCTTCTCTACCTACCCTACTCTCCCTACCCTACTTTACCTACCCTACTCTTCCTACCCTACTCTACCTACCATACTCTACCTACCCTACTCTACTTACCCTACCTACCCTACTCTACCTACCCTACTCTACCTACCCTACTCTACCTACCCTACTCTACCTACCCTACTCTACCTATGTCCTTCTCCTGGCTCTAAACTACCTTCCTGTCAATTTTCAGCTAAATCGGTTCATCCGTTCTTGAGTTATAAGTGGTGTAACTAACACGACTTTCTTTTATATATATAGATTATTTAAGTTGCCAACATTTTTTTAACACGGGCAAGCTGTATTTCAAAATGTACATTTAATTGTATTTTACGTGACTAATAACATTAGTAGATAGTCGCCATATTCGCTGACGACTGGTACCTTGGACTGGTTTCATAGGTAGTAACACTGTTCAAAATGTCGTAGTGGCCCGGAGGTTAAGGAGCCCGCTTCTCATACATGAGGGTGTGGGTTCCAAACCTGGCAAGTACCAATGTGACATTTCCCGAGTTATATGCACTTTCTATGATTATTAAGACACCACTGACATACGGTGAAGGTAAACATCGTGAGGAAACTTGGACTTATAATTTCTAATTATAAGTTTGAAATCGCCAATCCGCCTTGAGCTAGCGTGGTGATTATTGCTCAAACCTTCTCCGTGTAAGAAGAGGCCTTTGCTCAGCAGTAGGCACTTATACCCAGGTTTCCTCACGATATTTACCTGATGTTTGAAAAAGTCACATTGGTACTTGCCAGGTTTCGAACCCACACCCTCATACATGAGAAGCAGGCTCCTTAACCTCCGGGCCACCACGACGATTTAAAAATCAGCCTAGTCTTAATTAGTTCAAGTCTAAAGCTACATAAACAAAAACAGAATAGCAATTGGCCTTATAACATTCCTATTGATATAAGAGTAGCAAGCAAAAAAATTTCGAGGAAAGAAAACCTCTTTCTTTTAGATGGCTTTTTTATATACTTACCTATAGTTACCTATATTATTAATGTAAGTAAAAAATTGAGTCCTTCCCCGCTTAAGTTATTCAACTCAAAAATAACATGTCAGAATTTTGTTATCATATTACAATATTAACCACTAGCTACTCCCGCGTAGAGAGAGGCGGCCCGCGTGAAGGAGCAATCCTCACGCCCCAGCAGCCGCAACTGGCGACGGGGATCAAGGGACGATCTCCGGCCACCGTAAGCACAAGCCTGCGGTCGGCGAGTAAGGGCAGCTCGCCGCCCGACCAGAACTAGGCCCGAGCGTACGGCGCGTAGCGTTCCGCGCGCGCCTCAAAGAGCCATTAGACCACCACAGACGGGGCCCTAAAGGGCTGATGTTCAGCCGGGGTTGCGGGGTAAGCGCAATGAGGTACCGCGACCTCGGCACAGAGCAGGAGAAGGAACAGGGGTTTTTAGTCAGTATGAGTCTGACACTCCTTCCTGTCCGGGCTTGGGCGGGAGAAGTCACTTGATGATTTTCCCCCATCAAAAAAAAAAGGTACTCCCGCGCGGTTTTCCTCTCTGCTCGGCTCCATTCCATTAATCGTAGCATAATGTTTTATAGCCTATAGTACTAAGGAATATTGTAGCTATCTATCAGTGAAAGAATTATGGAAATCCGACCAGCGGTTTCAAAGATTACCCCATACATACAAACTTAAAAACTTACAATACCTCTTTATTATATTAGTATAAATAGATTAACACGACAAAAATAATTACCCACACAATAGCTAATTAATTTTCTTAATCCAAAAACTAAAGACACCCATCGAATTCTCCGAAACTAAATCCATCAAGGCTATCTCACAAAAACCGATACTTGAACACATAAACTCGAACAAACATATCTACGGACAAAAAAGCTTACAAGAAAGTTTATGCATAATAACTAGCTACGCACCAGTCTGGGCTTTCATATGCCTTTTTTATTTCTTTCACAAGTTTCGTGTTTCTTACAAAAAATAATACAGGTCAAGATCAAGGTACCTGCACTTATAACAACGCCTGGGTCTGTCTGTTCGATAGGCTTGTAAGACAGTTTTCTCTTGGTCTTTATAATCAGAATAGTTTCTGACTTAAAATTACTGCTAACTAAAGCTTTTACTAAAATTAAGTATCGATGTGACTTTTCCCGAGTTATACGTATAAAGTTTCTATGTTTATTTAGATAAAGACATCACCAAAGAAAACATCACGAGGAAACCTGAACTTACAATTTCTAATCATAAATGAAAATCACCAATCCGCCTTTTGCAAGTGTTGTGATTAATGCACAGTCAAAGTACCTATAATCATTTCAATTAGCCTATTTTGCACGTCAAAGAAAAAACACGAGATAATAAGAATTTAAAAACTATCAGTATGTAGGTTGTATGTAGTCTAGTGAAGCTATTTGCTCGTTCCAATGTGTAGAATTACCGCAGGTTTCTAGTATCTACATCACGGAATTCTTTTTTTATTTGCAATGGGCTGGTATTTAGCCTCTGTTCAGGCTGATGGCAAGCGAGGATGTGGCTTACGATGGAGCACGCCTAACCAGAGTTCGCTCAAGCCTTCAAGCTACCAAGTTTTACTCTTCGATTCA